TGTTTTTGATATACATAGAGCATGTCTGTAGATGGAGAGTGCGCCTTCTTTGCGTATGTAATATAAGAGGAAACTTGAAGCTTTATTTCTTCTGCATCTCTTTTCTGTTATTGCTTTTGACTAGGCAGGCTGGTTTCGATGCTTGGCACGATCCTCGTAGGTCCTAAGCTGATTGGACAGGCCCGAGGGCTCTTATGTGAGATACTTGACGTGAGCAGGCGCTGGGACCTCCGTGCTTTGCCTGGTTGTTTAGGCTTAGTCTCCGAGTCGGGCTTCGACTCGAGCCTTCTTATCCTTAAATCATTTGTGCTCGTGCGGGCAGGTAGTAATTGCTCCCGTTTCTTGCCCTAAGGCGTTTGCTGTTCATACTAATTTGGGTCCAGTCTCCGAGTCGCATTGCGATTCGAGCTTTAATTGACCCTTAAGTTCTCTTCCACCTACACGGGTGGATGGCGATGTCCTTTTGTCCTATTTTTTGGTCGTCGAGACCTTTCCATATGTGGCCTGGAGGCTCACTCGGCTGGTTGATAGTGGCATTTGTGCCGTGCCCTTAGGCATTTTGTAGTTTAGCCATTTCGGGTCTAGTCTCCGAGTCGCGTTGCGTTTCAAGCTTTAATTGATCCTTAAATTCTCTTCCACCTGCATGGGCGGATGGCGATGGACTTTTGTGCTATTTTTGATCGTCGAGACCTTTCCATATGTGGCCAGGAGGCTTTCATAGTTAACTATTTTGGATTCGGTCTCCGAATCGGGTTACAATTCGAGCTCATTTTAATCCTCAGGTTGTCAATTTTTTAGTTGGCGATAATGGCTCTTACGCTGTTTGGTCGTAGAAACTTTCAAATATGTGGCCCGGAGACTTCCTTAGCTGGCGACAATGGCTCTTACGCTATTTTTGCCCGTGGGCTTTTTGTAGGCTTTTTTTTCCACTCATTAAGGTCTTTTGAAAGATTTTTGCCTGACCCATCGTCGGTTCTGGAGAACCTCAATTTCAAGTCGTTATCAGCGATATTTGAGCACCTCGAAAGGTTCATAGCTCGTAGGCTGAGTAGGTCGAAGCCTTTGTGATTTGGAGATGACATGGTCGAAGCTCATTTTTGCCTGTTGAGGGAATCCTATTTTAATCGATTCTTTCCGAAATATATTCGAAGCAGTGGCTTGCGATTTTTGTTTAGCGACGATCGGGCGTCCCTGAGTAACGTTAGTATGGTTGTATCAGCCGTTTTGACCATGGTCATATGTGTTTGGCCGGAGCCATTTTTGATCCCGAGTGACAGTTCAGGCGTCTACACCGAGGGTATGCCATTTCGGGATTCTTACAAATGTGACGTATAGCCTGAACTTCGGGATTTTCATGCCTGTTGAGGTCTTACAGTTTGTCATGCCTATTGAGGTCTTATAGTTTTTATAATGTAGAATAGATCTGGTTACGCCGAGTCTGCCCACTAGGGGTCTTACAGTTTCGGGTTTCCCAACTCATGGAGATTGGTGACAAATGACAGTCTTCGAGTCATCGAATTTGTTTAAGCGTGAAGACCGCTTTTCGTGAGCTCGGAGTTGCCTTGTTGGGGCTTTGTGAGGCCGGAGTTCCGACCCTGGGGTCGTGCGGGTGCTGAATTGCTGACGCTAAGTCTCCGAGTATCTCGGGATGCGTTTGGTAGAAAGGCCCCTATCGGGGATATACTTAAGATTTCCTCGCTCGGAGAATAAGGTGTTGAAAAGATATCATTTTATTTCCTGGTGTAGAGATACGTCATCATGAGCTAGGCCCACACGAGCGTGGATTCCCGGTCCATTCGATCCGGCACATAATTCCCGATTGGGGTTTAGTCTGCCATTTCCCCGTCCTCCTGAGGGGACGGTGTCCTTAGAAGTAGATCATCACTTCATTGTTGGACTGTAGAAGAAGGACTACAACCTTATCGGATCCTCCTCTAGGGGTACGCTACTGTGCTAATAATCTTGCTAACAAGGCCCTCTTTAGGGCGGAAGCCCGACTGAGGTCTAGGGGTTTCCGGGTGGAGTTAGAACTTCCAAATATCCTGGCCAGCCGTGTCTTATCAGGCTTGGCCGAATATATGATTTGCTTACCCTTTGATCCTTTTGAGGGCGGGGGCATTGATGTCGGCGATGCGTAATATGGTGAGGAATTTCCTATTGTTGCGTATTACTCCATCCACTTATTTTGGTTCTGCCCTTTGCGAGGGGTTCCATGGTTTTTGCGAAACAGAGCCAACACTGTCTCCAGGTGGTATGCCAGCGGTCGTCTGAATATGACGTCTGTGCTTTGCGCCTCTTCCGATAGTGCAGAGCTCGATGCTCTGGCCCGAGCTCATGCGGGGTATATTAAGATAATGGTCTTTGTGGCGATTCGTCATTAGGAAATTGTCAGGGTTTCGGGATGCGGGAGTGATTTGGTCCGTTAGCCCGGACCGCCCTATTGACTCTAGCCCGATATGATTATTGTACGTGATTGGACCACCTAAATTCATGAACACATGTTTTATTTAAAATAGATCAAATGAGGGAGAGGGTTACCAATGCGTCAGCGTGATGCCGAGGCGAAGTCTCGATGTCTTTTTCCTTGGATGTAAGGGTGTCCTCTAGAATACCTCCCTAGACCCGTCTTTTCTAGGCGGCTAACATTTTCACTTTCCATTTTATGAGTCCATGGAGGGTGCCATCGTTCCTTCACTGTCGTGGTAATACGTCGTGGCTCGTTCACTCCACTCTTCCTGGTTGCCTTCCTTCCTTGGGGCTGGATCCAAATCGGACCGCTCGATGGTACTCGGCGGTGATTTCCATTGAGTAAGATAACTGTCGTCTGTTCGAGATGGGGGTCATTTCCGACCCCGTGGCCGCGCGTGCCCTGCAGTTCCGACGTCGGGTTATGGTTCTTTTGAAAGGGTCTTGATCGAATAAGCCTGAGTAGCTCAACGTCCTTGTTTTTGCTTATGGTGATCATGATGTTTGGTATAGCAATGTTGAAACCGTATTCTGTTAGTTGCCCCTCGTCAAATCTGGTTCTATTGAAAGTTCCTCAAGGATGTTGCCCTCGAAATATTTCCCTACCGTTGTAAGGTAGGTTGCATCTTGTGGCATTCCTCCCATTTGCGGTGCACGGATGGTATCTCCACCTGTTCGGCATTAGTTTCTTAGTTGCGGGCCTGCTTGGTTATATCGGGGCCATAGAGGCTCCCGGACGGTTGTCCATGGCCCTGATTCGTTGTCAGTTTCGGGTACGGTCATACGGCCGGGTCTGGGCTGGGTATCTGACTAGGCATCGTTTGAAAAGGTCTAGAGTTGTCGGGCATGCCTCGTTTAAGCTTCGGGTGAAGACCTACGATGCCCAGTCATCCGAATCTGGGGGCGATCTCACTCGTCGTATCGACAGATAAGGCGCGACTCCCTGTGGTGTTTCATTCTCTCTTTGTTTGGCCTCTGATGTATTGGGCTCTTCCGTTACTGCTTTGATGGCATCATTTGTGCAAAGGAATCTGCCGGTACGGTAAGCGAGTATGTGAGGTCGGGCGCTAGGCTACGACGCCACATCGTAGTTTGTTTTGAGAGTGTTTCTCTGAACTTCTTCAATGAGGCAGGCTCAAACTTATCATCTTGAAGGTCGTTGCCTTCTCCGCGCATGTGTAAGCGGTGGCGCGCTCATCGGGGTCCGAGGTCCTGTCCCGCCTGGGGAGTTCCGGTGTTCCAGATTTTTGTGAAGCGGGTTTCGGGGCTGCTTCCCCTGGGGAGAACTGTTGCACGAGCCTCCACGAACCTGAATCGATCCTTTTGGAGATATCTCCGAGCATCTTCACTAGGGCGGGGTTAGTTATCGATCTGTCGTTGCTTGGTCTTATAAGTACTCGTTAGGTGTAAGGAGCTGTATTCGGCGTTGCTGTGTTAGGAGTCGTCTGATGGCTCTATTGCTGAGCGATAGCCAACTGCTATGCCTGCAACATTTCAAATATATCGTGAAGGCTAACTTCCTATGTTTCACGAGCCGGGGTTTGTCGAGCTTCCTGTTGGTCGATATGCTTAACGCTCTTGTATGTGTGAGAAATTTCGTCTACTTTCTGTGCGTCCTATGAATCCGTGTCCGCAGGAATTGGCTCAGATGAGTTATCCAGGTTCTCCGACGTTGTTCTAGCCATTGGAATAGCCTCACCGTTTCTGCCATGATTTTTGGGGTGGTCGCTCTTGACTTTGCTTACCGAGTCAGACATTTTGACCTAAAATCAAGACACTTGGACAAGAAAAAGTGTGAAAGATAATGTGCATTTTTGTAATGAAACTAGCAAGAAAATAATCACTATTATTTTTATCCCCACGGTGGGAGCGAAACTGTTTACCGTGAAAATGATAACAACAAATAAATTTGTAAATGAGATTCTAAAAATATGTGATGTATTCCCGAGCTAGCTGTTAGAGCAGTTGATGCTAATAATATGGAATCTAATAATGAAAAGTTAGCTAAAACGAGATAGTAATTGAATCATAGGGCATGCTGCCCCGGTATAGGTCCGATCGATGAAGGACCTCGGGGTCGATGTCGGGGTCGAGCTCGAGCTATCGGGGATAGTCGAGGATGGGATAATAGTTGACGATATAATTAAAAAAGGCTCTTTATGTCCAATACTAAGGCGTACGATGAAGAAAAAGTAAAAACACGATGAATATCTAGGAAGCCTCGGGCCAGTGAGAACGAACAAGTTAGAAAGAAAAGAGAGAGAGGGAGATGTTATTGCACTTGTGGAGAAATGGAGCAACCTCAGTCCTTTACAATGTAGCGTGAGTCCCCTTTATATAAGAGGGGAACTTGGCTGCAAGTTCATGGGCGTTAATTACAAAGTATGGAGATGGGATGGCTTGACGTGATGCCTCAGCATAGGCTCTGGATAAGCCGGCCCTATTAAACTTAGCCATGTGCCTTGGGAGCTTCCCCCTTTGTCCTGGCTTCAACCTCCATTTTTTCCTATGTTGGGCCTTGACGATCCCCGAGGTCAGGAACTCGGTCGTGGCCTCCCGCCCTCGGGGTCTTGAGGCGTTCTTCCGAAGTAACTTGACAGCAAGAAAGCAAGTCCTCTGATTTTGTCGCGTACAATGACATTCAATCCCCATGTAGATGTAGTCCTGCAGATCTGTTCCCAAGATATTAGAGTTTTCCTTGTGATAGTTTCTTCTCCAGTCCATAAAAACGTTCTGCAAACTGGATCTATCATCTTCATGACTTTTACGGAGTAGAAATATATGTGCCCAGTATATTTGAATGCCAAAGTACAGACTTTATCAGTTGAAGTCTGCCAGAATAGGATAGTAACCTGGCTGACCAGCATATTATTCTATTTGTTATCTTCTCTATTAGGGGGTAGAAATATATGTGCCCAGTTAGTTTTTTGGAGGATAATGGTACTCCTAAGCATTTTAAGGGTAGATTACCCTCCTCAAATCCCAACATGCTCAAGATTACCTGTTTTTCATCTTTATTCACTCCTGCCAAGTAGATAGAGCTTTTGTCTTTGTTTGCTTGTAAACCAGTAGCTGTAGAGAATTCCTGAAACACCCCTTGAAGTAGCCTAATGGATTTAGTGTCTGCCCTACAGAACATGAGCAAATCATCTGCAAAGCAGATGCGAATTATACCCAGTTTCCTGCATCTAGGATGGAAGTTAAAATCTCCATTTTCTGCTAACATCATTATTCCCCTATTCAAATGATCCATTGCAATTACAAAGAGGTAGGGGGACATAGGGTCCCCTTGTCTGATATCTCTTTGTCCTTGAAAATGTTTGGTAAGGCCTCCATTTAGCACTAGAGAGTATAAGACAGTTGGGACACATTCATAATCCATTAAATGAATCTGAATGGGAAGCCAAGATCACTAAGCATTCTCCTCAAGAACCTCCAGTCTATAGTATCATAAGCTTTCCTAAGATCCACTTTCATGACACATCTAGGAGATACCCATTTCCTGTTGTATCCTTTGAATAGTCCATGATTGAATAAGATGTTGTCAATAATACTCCTTCCTTCTATAAAATCAGATTGTGACTGCCTCACTATGCTCCCAATCACATTCTTTATTCTTAGTTGTAGTACCTTTGCTATGATTTTGTATAAAGTGTTATAGCATGCAGTAGGTCTATAGTCTCTAACCAGTGTTGGTGAACTAACCTTAGGAATCAAGGTGATGGCCGTACAATTCACCATTTTCTGCATTCTTCCTATCTCAAAGAAGTTTTATATTGCATCATAGATATTATTCTTTACTAGGTCCCAGTTTCTTGTGATGAATTCAATTGGGAAGCCATCTATCCCTAGAGCTTTGTCTGTTGGCATATCTTTGATGGCAATGTCTATTTCTGTAGGTGCCACTGGCTTTATCATCTCTAGTTGTTGCTCCCTCGTTAGCACTGGCCCTTTTTTTAATGATCTTTGAGTTTAGACATTTAATCTCACCACTGCAACTACCCATTAGTCCTTTGAAAACAGTAGTGAATTATGATTCCACTTGCACTGGATCTATGAGTTTAATGCATGTTTCTATATAAATGGAGGAGATTGTGTTCTTTCTTTGTCTAATCTTCCACTGAGCATGAATGTACTTTGAGTTACTATCATCACACAGAATCCAATTTGCTCTGGATTTTTGTCTAAGTACTTGTTCTTCAATATTCCTCCACTTATCTTAATCAGCTAATATCTTTTTATCCTAATCAAATAGGCTCCGACATAATGGTTGAACATTTATGTTGGCTTGCATAATCTCCAATTGTTGTCTAGTGTGATTTAGCCTTTGCTCATAAGAAGCCATATATTGATTTAGATCCTTCAGTTTATGCTTCAGCTCCTGTAACTTCCTGCTGACATTTGACATGGCATAAGTATCCTTATTTTACTCCCATACTCTCTTTAATAATGCATGAAACTCAGGGTGTTCCATGACATTTACAAAGAACTTAAATGGTTTTGGGTACATTTTTCTCTTCTTTCCATATCTCAGTATCACAGTGGAATGGTCAGATACTCATGGGCTTAGGAAATCTGCCTCTATATGACCATATTGTTGCACCTGTTGAAAATTGCCCAGTGCCCAATCAATTTTGCTATAAACTCTGCTTCCCACAAGCTATTTATTGCACCAGGTAAAGTGCATGCCTATTGACCTTATGGGAGTCAACTGTAGGCTATTTAGTAGTTCTTGAAATTCTTGTACTTCCTTAGCTGTAACTGGTTGCCCAATTCTATCATCATTATTACGCCATTTTGATTCATATAAAATGTTATTTTGGACTGAGCACCCTATTTTTACTGATATCCCGTTGTGAGGTTTATGACTGAGTGAGGCCGAGGGCCTGTTTCTGTGATGATATTATGGGATCGGGTTGTGCGCCGCAGCATGTTGTTACTGATTCATAATTTTATGAGGCCGAGGGCCTGATAGATTTATGCCACGAGGTGTCTTGTTATAGCGCTTTAGCTGTAGGAGCCCCTCCAGAGTATGCACACCCCCAGTGAGCGTGGGTACCCTAATTGAGTGATATGATACTTTGCCTGAGGGGCTGTTCTTAATTCATGTTGTGCCCGAGGGGCTATTTATGAGTGATTGTAAGGTATGCCCGAGGGTCTGTATATGAGTGATAGTGATATTTGCCTGAGGGGATGTTTATGATTCATATTTACCTGAAGGACTGTATAAGAGTGATGTTTTTCCTGAGGGGCTATTTATGATTTATGTTGCTTGAGGGGCTGATTATGTTGTCATCATTTTTACTCACTGTTTTATCACTGTCTTTAAAAATTGTTGCAATATGTTTTAAATAGTTTTACTGAAATTGGATTTAAATGAGCTGACTTGATTCAAAACCCTGATTTTAAAAGTCTGTTGTATTCTACTAACATTTCATGATATGAACTGTATATGTTTTATTGCTCGTCACTACTGCTCAATCTTTATTTACTTTTATTACTTACTGAGTTGCATACTCACATTACTCCCTGCACCTTGTGTGCAGATCCAGGAGGTTACTATACGGGCTTGTGAGTGTTGATTTCATCTGTCGCAGATCTCTTGGAGTTAGTAAAGTAGCTGCATGGCGATCGCAGCCCTGCTCTTCTCCCTCCTATTTTCCTGTAGATGTTATTAGTTGGTTTCCAAACAGTATCGGTCTTAGTATTATCGGTCAGTTCTTATAAGATTCTCATGACTAGTGATACCCCGATGTCGGGCTTTCTTTCCGCACAGTAGTTTTGACTCAAACAACTTATGAAGGTTTATTGTTAAATAGCTTTGATTTTATCTTAAAAATGAAAATATTGATTGGTTTTGGTAATGTGTCGACTTTCCTAGTGCCACAATAGGCGCCATCACGACAGGGTAGATTTGGGTCGTGACAAAAGCTCTTTTAAAAAGAGCTTCTCCTCCAACTCCTCATCATCAGTGAAACTCAATTATTATTTCACCTTTTTTGAATTCACCTTGATAGTTGTTATCTGCTGGCTCGAGTTTAACTGCTCACCTCTTGCCTTTTTCAAAATCTTTATATCATGAATATATTTTCTCCACTTTGTAGAGGGTGTCACTCCATTTTCCACATCAAACACCGATATTTTTGTTACATCCGTATTTTTCTACATTAGATTTGTCATAGATAATTGACATAAGTTCAAGGACGAGACTATTTTTGAGGTTATAAGTATTTAGGCTATTTCAAACAAGTGACAAGTAAGTGTTATGAAGGTCAGTGGGTAAACAATTCAAAGAAAGCGAGTTTCGTTGATGTTTGATATTTTAGGATAAAATACGGACCAAGCTATAATACTCCGTAGTTATAGGCTAGTCGTGTACCACATGATCATGATAGTATGGTTTATGAAGTATGTTATAGGTGATTAGTATTTATGTGAAATGCGATCTAGAAAAGAATTATTTGTAATTAAATAAATTGGAGATTATAGTAGGAAGAGGAGAAATAAGTCAAGATTATTGAATAATTATTATGTGGGCATGATTCATTAGGTGAGGAGTAAGTGGCAGCCAAGGGATGGAGACATGAATGCATGAGGTGAATGGGACACCTATTTTGTCTATAAGAGTTACACGTGTACTTAAAAGGTGTGTTGACATCTTATTAGAAAGGATGACACATGTAAAGAAGATCTTTAGTGGGCTGTCACATGGCATTAATTTCACCAAGGGTGGCACTTAGTGTGCATATATGAGTCATAGCACTTAAAGTGCATAGTTTACACGTGTAAAGTTTAGTGATAAGTCATTAGTTGCGTACCTAGAGGATTACACGTGTAGAATGGAAGGGAAGTCTTTAATGTTAGTAGTGTAACATCTCGTACTTTAGTATTAGGATGAATCGTAGTAATCCATATGAGCTTGAAGGGATTAAGGTCATTCATGAGGTTATAGAAGATTTGTGACAATGTTATTGTAAGACCCCGTAAGTTAACAACCTTGATACCGTTAGATACATTTTGATATGGTATTTATTTTGAGTGAAACATTTTTGTAAAAAGTTTGAAAAATATGATTTTATATAGTTATTAATATTACTACTTCCGGATATGATTTAAATTCTATACATAATATGAGAAAGTTTATAAATGAAATTTTCTTTATTGTAAAGTTAGAAATTATTTTCCTATACGAAAAAAGGTTATCTTTTTATCGTTTTGAGAATTAAGCGCACACAAATTTGTACTCTTTACACGAGATTAATAAAATTAGAAGTTAATAAAATATATGTATTTTTACATGAATATTTTAATAAAATAATAGTGTATGTATTAATTTATATGGTACAATAATTTAGGACAAGATTTCTAAGTTTTCTTGATATTATCCATGCTAATTCACGTGATAGTGTCTACTCAATTAGACATCCATATATTACTATATTAATAAAATTGTTAGAGGAGTCAATCAACCATGTGGGTGCATATAAGGGAGGTTATTATCTTATATATATTATTGTTATATTTTATTAGATGACCATGTGTCATCAATTAAGGAAAGAGTGGAGGGAGGAGGATCTCATGTGTACTGTTACGCAACGCCTTCCTGATGATCTTTGGAAGGGTAACGTAAGGCTAAGCAACCGATGTCAGTGCGGTTGCTGTCCGCCAATGAGGTCCTCGCCGTACGCTAGACCNGCCATGGGGCGCGGCCAAGGGGTCATGGGGCATGTCTGGAAAGCAGCCCATGACAGTACTTGTGGGAGACAATATTTAGTGACTAAGCATTTTAAGTTAGTAAGTGTCCTCTTAAGAGTTAAGTGTTTTATTAGGTGTACTATATATACACGCATGTAAATGGGATTTTGATGACTAATCAAATGGGTATTCAATTAATGACATGTGTAAGTGGTTAAAGGCCTCTTTTTAAAATATATTTTACTACTTTGGCTTACTATATATATAGAGAGAAGGTGCTGCAGATTAGTATTACATATACATAGAAATACTATATACATTTTCTTAACATTTTAAAGTATAGAAAGTTTTCTTTAGGAAAATACGGGCAGCAACATCTTCTGTGTTTTTTTAGAAGATAAATTACATTTCTTCTCAATAGAAAGATACAAAGTCCTACGACTAAGGCGAACACGAAGAAACGTAACAATTATACTCACGTCGGTTTCCTTTTGCGGATACGAGTTGAGATCTTGAGCAAGTGATGTAAAAAGCTCTTAGAGGCTTTTTAGACACAAG